ACCCTGCTTTTGTATTTAATACTCTCTACATCTTTGATTATTCATCATATTTATCTTATATATTGAATTCCTTCAATACTAACCCATAATCCTAACATAAATGAATACATTTTACAATTTTAAAATAAAAGTATACAACTTCATCACTCAAAAGAATAAGTAAAACCCCAATGTTCCCGTTATGTTATAAATTGAAAATTGTATTTGTATAGATTGTTAACATCCATTTATACAGTATACATGTAAATCTACTTCTTTGCAAAGCAAAGCTTAAACATCTGTGGTTAAACTTTGATCCTTAGTTCCACCAACATTCATCCCTTTAAAATAAGATGAGAGAATTCTTGAATAGAAACCAACTCGACTTGGCTTTCATCCTGTAATGCATATTACTGTACTCTTCAAAAGATCTCTATCATGGGGTTTCCAACTTAGAAAGATTGAAAATATTCTCTAAGTATCCTAAATGGGAATTTTTATGTATATTTTTACTCAGTGTCATCTCTTGTACGTACTTTAGTTTCGAGTAACGATATGAAATTAAATACAATGATATGATACGAAAAATGGCTTTATTTGGGCTTTTTTTGGGGTTGGTTTGGTAAAAAAATCTAACTTTATCATTGTGGGACCAACGATTTGTCTGAAACCAATAGTGGTGGACACTTTACGTAATTTACCCTGTGTATTCATAAGAACAAAATTAAAGCCTTGTTTATGTGAGCAAACTTTATCAGGATAATGAAACACGTTATAAGTAATTTTCCGAGTAAAACAATTCTTGGATTGTATTTTCAGGAACCAGCTTTTTGAGAAGCAGATTAGTTTATCTAATGATATTTTAAGTTCATTAGTCTGAAATTGTAGAACACGAAACGAGTATTTAAGTGTAACGAGTAAGTCACTTCTTATTTTATCACCTTCCAATTATGTCCCTACCTTTTTGTACACTACAACAAATATTAGATTTTTTATGAGGTACTAAAAAATGATTGTGGAAAGTATAATGAAGAAATATAGAAATGTACTAAGAGGACATAATAAAAAGACGTAAGAAAGATTATACTACAAAACAAAGTAACATCTTCCACAATAAGCTTCGTTTGACACGAAGGTGGGTTGACTTTGACAAAGCGCAAATTTATTTTACTTGAACTCGTGTCAAAACGGTAAAATAATGCTGGTTTATGTTATTGTAAATTGCAAGGGTTTCTTTAGTACAATGCAATGACAAGGAAGGTTTTAAAGGATAAAAAATCTCATTTTATACTTTTTTCTGTTAAAAATTAATATTATATTGTCATCAATTTCAAACGCATGACAAACTTTTTTTAACTTCACTCGATTAATTCGCAGAAAGCGATTCGTGCATCGCAGAAGCTGTGATTATCTTTCACGTCATGTTTTGATAAAATGAAAAGACTTATTGTCTTATAGGTTTGGGAACTAATTGATTTGTCTGGCAAAGGATGAATTATAAAATGGTGTCAGAAAACACATTAGTTTAGGTGCAACGTATCTAAAGATCATCCTTGAAGACCTTACATTACGAAAATCCTCGGATTTTTAACATTCTGACAAATATGCCTAAACTCCTTTCAAGACTTAATCCGACTGAAGGCCGCTCTTGTAACAGATATTGTACTAAATTTAAACAAGTAAAATGTCAAGTTAGCACTACTTTACAAGACCAGTGTGAAGAACCTTAGGAATAATAATAAAACTAACTTACAACAACAATTAATTGTAGGCCAGAAATGTGTATGGTAAAAAAATTGAGACTTGCGTTTAAATTTATAATTTCGAAAACTATTTACTATGGTTAGAAGGTGCAGTCTAATAGTTTTAGAACACTTAGCTTTCATTAAATGGAACGATTCATACAATGTAGGCTAGTTTGCGAAATTGGAATCAAATATTGAGGTTTTAATAATGATTAGATCAACACAGCTGATCACTTCTGACATTGATGTCATGTCACCTTGACGCTACAGTGACATTATATCATGACGTCACCGTCAGCCAGTGAATTTCCGTCCAATTTCCGCACTGCTGTAAACAAGAACAATGACGTATATTGTGGACTAGACAGTTTACAGTATTGTAACTATTTCATTCTATGCGAACTTAGTTTGTACTATATCTGTTCTTTGAAAGAGAATGCGGAAGAATTAAATACGGGTTTTAAAATCTACATTATAAAATAGTTACAAATATATTATTTATTTAAAATGCAACGTTTAATTTTACCACTATAATTAGACCAGGTAAAACTATATTCTTTAGATTCCGATATATACAACCACCTCCTCCAGTATAGTAATGTTGGTTAGGGTTTAAAAATACTGTAAATGTATCATTTAACTTATAATAGTTTACGCAACGAACACGTAATGATAGTCTTAAGCTATGGTTCCACAGGAACGACACAAGTAGACAATTTAAGGTGGAGCCTTGCCAAGTGCTTTTAAAACGTCTACGAGTGTCGTGAAGGCTAATTACGGAAGTTGCGTACACTACTTTACCTAAGACCGTTTCTTGATTATAAAAATTCCCTACTCATAACTTCCAAGAGAGAATATGATTATGTTTGTAACTTCCAATAGCCACTGATTGTGATGCAACGACTTATTATCCCAACCACTCACCCATTGTAAAAAATTTAATTGGTCTTAACAGCAGATATTAAGTTGAAATTCGAGGTATTACAATTAATTATACTTCTTTTCTCTCAGTCCTTAAATTTCTTTGGTCCGTTACTCATGTTGTAAAGTCAAATGACAAGGCTGTTAGGTGAATCTTTTCAATTCTAAGAAATGAACGGAAAGGTTAATTAAAATTATTTAAAAATCTGGTCGTAGATAAGAAACTTAGTGTGCTAAAAAAATTTTTACTCGGACAACCAAATACAGTATATAAGTCATGCTGATTCGTGTTTAAAAATTAAATTTATCATTTAATTAAAAAAAATATAAGCGTATTTTGAAAAGTTTAAACCTACTTACCTTCAAAACCCTACATGCATATGAAGTTAAAAATGCTCTTCGGGAGTTAATTCATTGATTGAATGATAAAAACCAACATCGATTGATTAAATGGCCACGCTCTAAGCTTCTTTTTATGTGCCATGTGCATCAATTTTCATTTGGTTAATGGCTTTAAACGATAACTAACCATTTTACCATATCACAAATAATGTAATATATTGCGACATCAATATAAGCAAAAATCAAAATTAACTCCAAATAAATCAAATGCTATCAAAACTTTTTCAAAACTCCTTTCACCGAAAGAATAATTCTTTCCGAAACAACACCTCAACTCTAAACATCTCCCCTGAATACAACAGCTTTGTGTACCCATTCAACATTGCTTTATATAAATTTGACGTCACCTGTGAAGAAAATTACTTTTTGAAGAAATATTCTAAAAGAAGAAAAAAACTATTGAAATAATAGATCCATCTAAGATGCCAAGTCTTCTTATATGACTAAATAAGTTACAAAAAGCACCATGGTTAAAAACAACTTACCGACTCCAAGTTCAAATATTTTTCAATTATTCTAATGTAGACTAAAAGGGTATAAAACCGTGTGTGTGGGTATAAACTCTTTGAAAATAAGACATTTTGTGTAGGAAGTAATCGCTTGGAAAGCGTCCTGATAAATAATTCAAGAATCTAGAACATCTTGTTGATTCACAGGTTGATTTCTGATTTTTGGAGTGAATTGATCGATGAAGCTAATACATTATTAATTTTATTGCATTGTGTAACACCCTTTGTATTATATTTTCAAACTTCCGTGTACAACCGTGTACAACCAACATACAAAGCACACGAAATGAATTTTGGAGCGATGCGAGTTTAAAGCTAAGCTGCCCTGAATCTGTTTAGCACTTAAAAGTCGTCACTTGACCCAATAAATAGAACATAGGTACTGTGTAAAAATGAATCGATACTCGTAAAAATAGTGAATCAATAAAAATATTTTTTTATAACGAACAAAAATTTATAATTAGGTAAATGTATTTTAAGAATTATATGTAGAACTAAAACATACAAAGAAATGTTGGATAGACTTTTTTATTTTGCTTAGTTGCACAAATTATTTTTTTTTTTGTGAATATCTATTAAAGTATACTTTATCAATTCCCATGTATACAGTCGTTGAGACCATGAAACAATTATAAAATCAACACCATCAATACTTTTTACAACGTATTGTGTTCCTTGAAGTTTTCCTACCCATTTATTGTTGTTTGCAGTTCCTATTTACAAGTTAAATTTATTAAATTAGCTGTATTTTTAAAGCTCATTCCTCAGCTTGCTTTTTTTTTACTTTCTTTATCTTACAGTGAAAGTTATATGGATAAAGTATTGATTTCGTCAAAAGTTTTCGAGTCTCAGTTTTGAGTGGAAAAATCCGTTTTGGGCCCCCCTGAGCCCAAAAAAATTTGGTTTTCGAAGTGATGTGTGTGTGTGTGTGTGTGTGTACAGGGCTACAGACCACATCTGTTGTCCGAATTTAGTAAAAACTTGGTATGTATGTACTAATCCATAGTATCTCCAGGCGTATGTTAATTCTTTTTGAAATTTAGATTTTTAATGGTTATTTAACCATAAACCCCAGAAAATGAGGGGAAATAAGATTTTCTCTAAAATGGCCCAAAACGGTTGTGATGGAAATTTAGTATGTCCTTTAAAATATACTGAATAAAATTTTTCAACTCCCATTTCTGTAAAACATATGGGCCAAAAGTTATTGTAGCTTTTATTATTTTCCCATGAAAATCCCATAAATATTTTAGAAAAAAACCGGTTTTGATTAAAGTTCATTTGTTATGGTCCTTATAATTCTAAACAAAATAGTGCAACATCCCATTGCTGAAACAATTATGGTTCAAAAATTATTGCAGCTTTTGTGATTTTCACTATAAAATATCACGGTTACTCCAACGGCTTCCATGTAAAAGGTTGTCCTAATAGAAGAAAGTATGTGTCAGACTGCTACAACGCCGTATTTATTTTTGCAACCTATTTCATTACAAGGTATTTCGCCTTTCTTGGCACAAGTTCCTGCCCAGAAACGACCTTTAACGCTGATAGCCACAGCGTTGCAGACAAATCCTTCACAACAACTACCTTGATCGTTGATCTTTCCGTTCGTAGTACACTGAAAATAAACAATAGATTAAATCACAAGGCGGTCAAGTTTTAGGGAATACTAATTAAGTCTAAGAGTCCTTGGAACCGAGACGTTCTAACTCATAAAACAAATAAACTGTACGAAGGAAATGTCTAACCCCACAGTGGACTAGGTATTTTTAATTACAATCACTTTGGTATTTGAAAAGAAATCTGAAATGGTGAATTACTCTTCAGAGGCAGATTAAAGTGAACGAAATTAACATTGCTCTTATGACGGCCATATCCAAGATGGCCGTTGGCTTCCATGGGCTTTCTTATAAAATAATTAAAAACCACGACGATTTTTTTTATCTCTCAGTGTGTTAGATATTTAAATTAAAATCACTTAGTTGTTTGGACGGTAATTAAATTTTGTCTCCAAAGACCCTAACTTTAGTGTACTTGTTTATTGATTATACAGGGTTTTCATAAAATAATTGTGGGGTTTTAAACACTATTATAAGACCAATAAAATATTTCATATTATTACCCCTGTTTCCGGTAGATCAAACAGTCCTATTTATATTAACTAGAGGTCGTCCAGTGGTCGAAAATTCGACAAAAAATATGTAACCATCACTTAATTTGAAGACAATAATTAAATAACAAATAATTCATTAGTTGATTTGGAAAAAGAAATCACATCTCAATTTCACATTAAATATTCCCTAATGACCAAGTGATTTTATTAAAGTAAGTATGTTTAACTATTGTCAATTAAAAGAATATATTACGCCAGTTTGTTTGTTTTGATTTAACCTCACAGTTTGACACGTATGAACACATTATCACACTAAAAAGGTTCATCTTCAAAGATCTAGCTAGTAAAAATCAAATTATGTACAGACTTCTGTATTTTTCCCCCCACACTGTAAATAAAACATGGGATTGGAATTTCTTACATTTGTTTAGATTTTCTGTTTATATTTCGTTGTTATTTCGTCACCAGCATGGCAACCCATAAAGTCCATGTTAATTTTTTAAAATTACAAATTCATTTTTTTGGGATTATTTTTGAGCTTATTTGAATTTTTAAAGGCATACTGCACATCTACAGGAAAATATCTTTCTAACAGTATGCATAGATTTCCCCTGTGGTGCACACGTGCTGAAAAAGGGGTTTTAAAGAAACATGCTTGCCAATTAATATATAGATAGATTAATATTTATTAAATATTCTTAGACAACCTACTTATTCTTTTAATTAAACATCAAGTTGTATTTTCTTATGAACATTTTTGCCGCCAAGAAAAGGTTAAGTGTATAGCTGTGAACTAAAGTCAGTGACTTTAGTATAACGGTCATTTAGGAAGTCAAAAACTTAGTTTATTCCAACAAAACTCGAAATTTAGCCCATCGAGAAAACCAGCCAAAGAACCAGAGATGCAGTCTCCATTGTTACAAGAGAAATGTTGCTCGTGTGGGTTGGAATAATTATTCATCGTCTGGATGACCATAGAGCTAAGAAATGGTTGTCATGTTTAAGCTTATTTATTGGCTATGTATAAAATATTTTTGATGTCAGTAAAAATAGTTTTTTTTTTATGTATTCTCGCTTTCTTTTTATTTCATAACTAAACTCTACCATGATTTTATGAAAACCCTGTAATATGTTTGAAGTTAAGTGTAATGCTCGATATTACAATATCCACTTTGAATAAAGGTTTTTTTTCTATTTCCTAACTGGTTTTAATTTTATATTTAAATGAAATATTGATTTTTTCCCAGTAAAATTGTAAATTAGACTATACCTCTTTTAAAAGTGTATTGAGCCACAAAAAACACACACACACACACAAAGATAAAAGCGTGGGAAAGAGTGGCTCCTTAGCAAAGTAAAATTTATTTTACTTGTTGTTCACACTACTTTACCACAACTTTTATATCTAAAATATATAAAAATCTATAATTTTAAAAGAGGGTTCTAAGTATTTGTCATATACTTACTAAACCACCTTCTTTTTCGCATCCCTCTACTTGTAGAAAATATGCTGTCACAGTCATGATAACTGTAATTGTAACATAAATAAATTTCATAATTTATAATGAAGAAGTTTAATCAAAGGAAAAACTCTTAACGAATGACACGGGGAAACCGTTGTCACTTATTATATCTGAGTTAAATTATTCTTAATTAATTGGCTGAATCGGGTTTATCGCTCATGGAAGAAAACTACAGCTTATTACCGATGATAAAATGTTTTGTGGAGTGCAGTTCGATAACGCTATTGTTGCTATGCTTAAAATATGCCATGAAACGATAACTATTGTTACATTTTAATGAATCATCTCTCTTGCCTGGCTGTTGGAAATTCACAATAGTTTTTAATATCCCAATACAGTATGATGTTTTAATATCACAATGCATTTTAAAACTGAACTTGATTCCACACTGTTGTGTTTGATGTAGAAATAGAAATCATGACCTCTATTGCACGGAAGATTACTTTTAAAACAAAGGAAATGTGTGTGGAATTAAAACATGCGTATTTCAGAACTTTTATAATATTATTTTCATGTTTGTTTAGGAATAAATGTCGCAGTTAGTATTGTAGGTCTACATAAGTGATGATAACTAATTGTAACCTATGTATCCCCGTCACAGCGAACCTGCCGACTAAGCGAATTTCCATTTTTCTGAATTGATTTTCAGTTAAACTTAAATAACATTAAGTTTAACGATTAACTAGGTTGCTGCTACGAGGAAACTTATAAAGCGTGTGTTGGGTAAAAATATTTATAGCTTAGTGTAAGATAAAAAAATTTTCCAAGTTTGATCAAAATATATCATTAAACAAGCAAACTACAGCATTTTACACTATTCTCTATAAGAATAACATGGGAATTTTAAATTGAGAATTTTTAGAATTTTCTCCGTTATCAATAAGCGTACCACTTTGATATGAAAAATTATTTGTATTTTAAGCTTTTTTAAAAGTATAGAGAGAAATTTGGTAATTGTGATTGATTGACTTGATTACGTATATGATAAAGTAAAGTACGAAATCTTTCTAAATAATAAGTTCAAAAGCTTTTAAAATTAGGTACATTATTATCCACCTGTAAAGCTAACCTATTATGTATTATTAACCTGAGGTTTAGGTTACCTACCTAGGTAGTGGTGAGGTAATTGTAAGTATTTTGAGGTTTAGTTTTTGACCTGTATAAAATTAACACTAACAACAGCTAATCAATATAAACAGTTTTGTATTCTTCTTGTTAACATGGCTTACTCATTTCCTCTATTGATTTTAATTAATTACACATAAACATCCACGTATTAGTGTAACTAAATACGCTTTAATAAATTGTAACATCACTGATTATAATGGTTTCGTAAATCCTATGAATTGGAGAGAGACTGAAAAAAGAGATTCTACTAAATCGAATTGGTATAATATTTCATCTACCAAAGGCAATTACGATAATTGAATTATAACATGAATCGGTAAACAATCCAATTAGTGGTTTATGTGTCCTGCCTATGTGGTTGGAATAAAACATTTAACTGTTGTGGTGGTAGTGCAATAAGGGTTGCAACTGGTTTTTTTTACTAACAAAACCTTAAAATGTAATGACTGCATTCCCTTGAAAGTCAACCTTTATAAGATTTACTTGCTTATTTATTGTTATAAAAACAATAAATTCATCCATAAGTGATTAAAAAAGAGTGAACATTTTTAGAATAAATTATAAGCACTACAAGTAAGTTTTTGTTGAACTTTTTTAAAGCATATGCTATGATTAAAACTATGAAATAATCTCATAGAATATTTTGTTCTGCGTGTAAGTGTATTTTTGTAACGTTAGGAAAGGTATTGCAAACCCTAACACATTTTAAATGTCATATTAAACGCCTAACTGAATCCTAATACTCCACAATTTATGAGCACCCTTGATGTGTATTGAGTAATTACAAAGCATGGTGCATAAAAGACATTAAGGGGTATTGACTCATATATTTATTGAATTAAATCTCAATTGGTTGTACAGTTTGCACATGAATAGATTTATTAATTTTGAATTTATAAAGCTTTGCTAACTTTTTGAAATTAAATGTTATTCTGACTATATTAAAATGATATGACTTAATTCAACTTTATTACATCCTTATGAATAATATACAGCTTTATGTTGATTTTATGACAAAAGACATTCTCCACCACTTCTCTATGTATAAAATAATTTTTTTCATACAAAACCTTATAATTAATAACTATTTCTTTTCATTGGATCAATTTACCCTAATTTATTATTTTTTTTACTTTTTTGTTCTGTACAGTTCAATTCTAGTTTTGAACTACATGGTATGGTTTTAACCACTGAAAGTGCTAATATATTAATACCATTAGCACGTAAAATTAATTATATTCAAGAATGTATTTAATATGGCTATAGTCACTAGGGCAATGTATTTATATCGTATATATTTTTTGGGGGTTAAGGATTATAAAATCATTTTATATGTTTTTGAAAATTATTAACTTTTTACTATACTTAATTCGGTTTACGAAATATTAAATAATATATAAGAAACCAGCTGAAAAACTTTCGTAGCTTCATCTTAACTAATACACCCTGACGAAATCATAAGTTTTCTTTTTAATTTTCTAACCCAAACAATCGAGCTTGAAAGCCCTTTGTTGTATCGTTTGTAACTCTCTCATTAATAATTAACACTTTCTTGTGGTAAAACATACCTACAAGCGTATTTCACTGCTCCACATCGTAATAAACAGCTGACTTAACACATTTACCAAACTCTTGGTTTGATTTAGTTAAATGTTTTGAGATCAGTGTTTATGATTATAATTAATTGTCATTATGAAGGCTTTTTTAGAACTGCCATATGCTAAAGAGTTTTGTAAAATAACTGTAAGCAAATATTTACTTAGTTAGTATTATTTTTCAAATATTGCATCCTATAATGCAATTGTATCAAATAATGCAATTACAATCAAATTACAGAGATCTCCTATATTCTTGAGTAAAAGATAATCTGAAAATATGCATATTGTGTTTCAAAATTTAACAAATCTGTTACATTGAGTAGTCATAACATTTTAACTTGAAGTTAAATTTTAAATTTTAAAATGGGTTGAACGATATGCACAACAAAAGTTTATGGTTTAACACCTTTTGAGGCTTTATCTTTGATTATGTTGGGACTTATATGGTTGTAATTGCTTTTGAAAAATATGAAGGAATTGCTAAAGCATGTGAAACAATTCTCAAGATTAGACGCTCAAATGTTTTACCATTTAAAGTTCCACTGAAGATAAGACTGATGAAGATGTCTTCCAAACTCTTCAATCTTCTCAACAAATGTTCTTCGATATTTTGTTCTGTGAACGTATTTCATTTTAAACGTAAGGTTTACTTTTATATTTGACTTTTTCTTGTTAAAAAAATATATTCAATTTTTCCATGTAAAAAAATTGAGCTTATTATCCCGTGTTAACAAGAATTGTCGCTTTTTATAACATTAGGGTAAAATGTTATATATTTATTTGTAATTTGATAAGGCGTGAAAAAATAACCACCTTGTCAAAGATAAAGAAGCAGTCGGATTTCCTAAAAAAAAATATAATCTAAAACTGGTCTGCAATCCATATATTACATATCATTTGCAAGTAAATCATGTATCACTTGCTACAATAGTCTCACAGAGCAAAGAATAGTCTGTTTGCATTTTCACATTTGAATTTACGGTGAATTTACGTGTGTTAAGTACATGTTGATTAGAACCTTTGTACGTAAACGATATATTTTTTTTAATTGTTGTTTAAATATAATTTTACAATAAGGTTTCTAAACCGTATACATAATTTCAGTTAAGCACTTTATGTATATTGGTATAGGAAATGTATCTAAATATTATCATTCAAATTTAATTAGTAAATTCGATGGGTAATAAATCGTGAAATACGGTCTGGGATATATTTGATAATGTTCCTCGCGAAAGTCCATTAGCGATATTTGAATTCAAATGCAATCTTTTAATCCTCAATTTACTATATAACAATTCTTTTTATATTTTAACATCTCATTCCCTCTACCTGAGTATAATGCGTAATTGAGTATAAGCAGATAAAATGTGTAGTAAATAAAAATATACATTACAAATTGTGTATAATGTAATCGACTTACGAGAAACATTAACATCAAATAAAAACCACAAGCAGTTTTTTGTGGGTGATTGTTGAGAAAATGGATTTATTTAAAACATAAATATTGTGGAAACTGTATACAAAAACCGAGTATGTGGCTGTATTTTCCAATGATCTTTGATAAGGTTGAATAATAATATATTTACATTAGGTACAAAAAATCTTCAGGTGTTTGTTTTAGATAGTTTAGCTAATAATTCAAACCTACAGTTATGATAACTTTGGTACCTTTCTGTTGAATTAAATGTTCAATATTTATTACATTGTAAATTTTCTATTTCAATTAAATACACGCTAGCAATTAATATTACAAATTATCCAGAAACCCTTTCAAGTTGTACTCTATGTTTTTATGTATACTCAATGGTACACGTTTTATTTAACTATCTATCTATGGGCCCTACACAAAACATTGAAATATATTTACACAAAGTTTGTTTCAAGAAAATGCTTGTTGACTTAACGACAACGAGAACAAACAAGGCGTTGACAAAAATAGAAACGTTGAGAGTTGTTTAGCATTCCCGGAATACTTTACAAGGAATTTCCAGAAAAGAGCTATATGTTTCAGCTTTCTGACGTTTTACATTTGTATTTACAGAATTTATGATTTATTTTTGACAACAATATTGTTTTGTATTGTCGTAAAAGAAATCCAATATCAAAGGCCTTTATCCAATAGCCTAATTAAACACTTTTATCTTAAATTTGGTGTTTTTGGTTGTATATTTTTTGTAGACATTTTAAAAAGATACATACTTAAGATTTTACGCAACTACGATAGGCCTACAATAAAATAAAATGAAATACCCCCGCCGCAGCAAACCTGCAGACTTAGCGAATTTCCATCTGCCAGATTAGATTTAAACTAAATTGTCTCCTTAAAAATATCACAT